ATATTTTAGTAAATATATTTTAATAGATTTTTTTTTTGAGTAGGAATCTCACTCTGTTACCCAGGCTGGAGTGCAGTGTCATGCTCATGGCCACCAGAACCTCTACCTGCTGGTCTCAGACGATTCTTCCGCCTTAGCTTTCCAGGTAGCTGGGATCACAGCTACTTGGCTAATTTTTGGCTTATTGTAGAGACGAGGCCTCGCCAAGTTGCCTAGGTTGGTCTCGAACCCTGGGCTCGGGCAATCCTCTTGCCTCGGCGTCCCAAAGTGCTGGGATTAAGGCTTAATAGATATATTTTACCAACTGTATTTGAATAGATATATTTTGGTAAACATACTTTAACAGATATATTTGTATGTATATATACTAGAGCTTTTTGATCAGACTATGGCCTCAGCTCTGGGCCTCCCCACTATGGCCTCGCCATCCGACAGCCTTCTCCCACATGGACCTTTCTCCCTAGTCCTCCCACCTCCCTTCCAAGTCCTGATACCTGTTCAAAACTACTAGGAAATTTAAAGCCAGCCAGGAGCTGTGGCTCAAGTCTGTCATCCCAGCACTGGGAGGCTGAGGTGAGGGGATTGCCTGAGCCCATGGGCTCGACAACAGCCTGGGCAACTTGGTGAGACCTCGTCTCTACAACAAATTTTTTAAAAACTAGCCAGGCGTGGTAGCGCACACCTATAATTCCAGCTACTTTGAAGGCTGAGGCGGAAGGATCGCCGGAGCACAGCGGGTCAAGGGTGCGGTGGCTGTGAGTCGCACCCCAGGCTGGGCAATGCAGTGAGTGACACTCCGACTCAACAAGAAAAGGAAAGAAAATTTAAAGCCAAATAAATAAAAAAGGATGAAATCACATCTTTTGTAACAACACGAATGGAACTGGACACTGTCATCCTACGTGAAACAACCCCGAAACAGAAAGTCAGATACCACACCTGCTCACTTAGCAGTGGGAGCTGAACACGGGGTACACACGGACACAGAGTGGACCAGGAGACAGGAGACACTGGGGGCCCCCTGGAAAGGTGGAGGGTGGAAGGGGCAAGGGAGGAGAGATGACTTAATGGGTGCGATGCACACTATTCCGGTGATGGGTGCACTAAAACCCAGATTTCACCACTAGGGAAAGTATCTATGGAACAAATCTGCACTGATGCTGCCTAAATCTATATAAATAAATAAATGAATAAATAAGTACAACTATATGAGACCTACTATTTCCCCTACATCTAAGCAAATACATAGACAAAACCACATGGGCTCTGGTATCCCCGCAGTACTCCTGGCTGCGATTTCAGCCTTGTGCCCAGCCCGACCAGCTGATGTCTACGGTACCCGACAGCCGCTGGGTCTGCAGGTCGTGGATGCTCAAGGTCCTCAGGCTTGTCACGGATGCGATGTGCTGCTCGTCTTCGGCGGTGAGGGGACTGGCCACCACCCCGAGGGAGTAAATGTTCTTACAGGCGCTGAGGACCCGGCTGAGGCTGCCGGCCACCCCGGCACATCGCTTCACCTGCAGCCTGAGGCTCGTGGCGGAGCTGAAGATCTTTCCCAGGTACCTGACATCCTGCCTGTTCAACCTGCTGAAATCCCGGAGTGTGACCTCCAGAGTCTTAAACTCCTGCTTCCAGCTGAAGAACAAAGACACAGCCCTGCTGGAAATGTAGGTCTCTGAGGACTCTCCCGCGGGGACCCTGCCTGTGTCGTCCGCGGCCTTGTCCTGGGAAGCCGTGGCTCCGCCGTAGAAGTCCAGCTTGATGAGGTCCAGGGCGCTCGCACAGTTAGGCAGGTGTTCAAAGAAGTCAAATAAGTAATCGGGGATGTTCTCCGAGTGGATGTATAAGCTCTTGCCGCGAAAGAACGCCTCGAACTCCTGGCTCAGGGCCGACTTGGAGATGCTCTCGTGGAACAGGTTGATGCCACACTCGGCGAAGGCATTGATGTTCATGGCCTTCAGCGCCTCTTGCTCGCTGGTGTCCTTCACAGGTATCGATTCCTGCCTCCAGAGGGGCCGCCTGGTGACGGAAAGCCCCCGAAGGCTGCCGTGGTGACACACCGCTGCGAGGTGTCTCATGACGGCCCTGGTGGCTTCGGCCGACGACCCGCATGTGTACAGAAGCAGGTTGCTGTACAGGGACGTGATGTCCGAGATGGCAGCCATCTTCTGCAAGTGACCGTTCCCCTTGGCCACTTCCCCGGGCTCGTGGGATGTCAGCAAACTGCTGAGTCTGCGTCCCGCCGTGTACTCCTGGAACGACTGGTGGAAGAACTTGTACGTGGGCTTGAACCTCTGCGCGGTGTATTTGCACAGGAGCCCGGTGGTCAGCAGGACGTCCTCGTTCACACTGGCCAGGTCCTCCAGCTCGAAGTCAAACCTGCGGGCCAGCACGCCCTCCAGGGCCAGGTCCCCGCAGCGGTCCAGGCTCCGGGCGAAGTCCCTTGCGGACCCACCCTTGTGTCTGCGCCTGTTTTTCTGGATCAGCAGCTCGTAGAAGGTGCGAAACAGCGTCGTCTGCGTGTGGGCCTGGAACTCGCGCTCGCCCATCTGGATGGCGCAGGTGATGACCACGAAGAGCGGGGTCTTCATCAGATGCCGCAGGCACCTGGTTCGCTCCATCTGCAGCAGCAAGCCCTCGGCCTTCTCCTTGATCAGCACCCCCCGGATGAGTGCCCGGGCGCCGGCTTCCGGCATGTCCCCCACCTCGGCTGTCAGGGCCGCCACCTGCCTCACGTGCCTCAGGCACTCGGTGGTGGTGGTGACGATGACCATGCTCTTGAAGCGGTGGTTCTCCTTGATCAGGGCTTCGAGCTCGGGGCAGTTCTGGGGCTTGAACTCATTGTAACCATCGAGGAGAAAGAGGACCTCCTGCCGTAGCTTGGGCAGCATGGCCATGAATGTCGGCCGCGGGAGGGTGTCCGGCATGTCCAGGAGCTGATCACACAGGGTTTCAAAGAGCCGGCCCTGGGCCCTGCTCAAGTGAAGGAAGAAGACGAACTTGAACCTGGCCAGAGCCCTGCACTGCCCAGAGCCCCAGAGGATGGCGATTTGCTGCAGCAGGGTGGACTTCCCTTTGCCCGACTCTCCCTCGATGACGCAGGGGCTCTCCAGGACCTGCAGGAAGCCGTCCAGTGTCAGCTGCTCCACGCGCCGGTGGTGCTGGTCCTTCCGCCACAGGACGGGCTCTGTGAAGGTGCTTTTCAAGTTAAAAATAATGTCGATGTCTTTGCCCAGAGGGTAGAAGTTCAGAAAAGAGTTGGAGTGATACAAGCTCTTCAAGTTCTGGGCCAGCTCGTCCAAGTCTCCTTCCGACAGCTGTTGGAAAATGCCTGGGAGAGAAGAGGCCACATTACAGAGAACCCCGGTGCTGTCTCCCCAAAACCCCGAGTGCAGGAGGGCAGCGGAGACTGGGGCTGAGCCTTAAGCCATCGGTGACTTAAGTCTCCAGTTCTGAGCTGGCCTAACCAGTCTCCTCCCGCTCGCCCGGCCCCTGTGTCCTCTTGTGTCTGTTTCCGCCTCTCCGCCCCCAAATCCCACAGTAGCCGGAGGGAAACGGAGGAGCTTGTGTTTGGGCCAAGGAGAGCGAAGGACCGGCCTGAGAGTGACAGGGGCAACTTTCAGCAGATGGAGGGACATCTGTTATGGTGTGATTTATGAATTAAAAAAAATAAAAGCTAAAGTAATATTTCACGAGAAGCGGAATCATTTATCCTGAGCGAGTCAGATTCTCTCGGCCAGGGGCTTGGGTCTTGGAGTGAGTTATCAACTGGATCTCACACCCATAGTTGGGGTTCATCAGACCAGGGAATGCTGGGATCTCCACTGCACTGGCTTCACTGGTGCACTCATTGTCCAGATTGATTGATTATTTTTGTGGAGTCAGCCTGTTGTCCAGGCTGGAGTGGAGGGGCGCCGTTGTAGCTTACTGCAGCTTCACACGCCTGGGCTCAAGTGAGTCTCCTGCCTTCTGAGTAGCTGGGACTACTGGCATGGGCCAGCCATCACACCGGACTACTTTTAAAGCTTTTAAAAATTTTAGAGACAGGGTCTTGTTATATTGCCCAGGCTGGTAGCGAATTCCTGGCCTCAAGCGATCCTCCCGCCTTGAACTCGCAAATGGTGTATTGTACAGTTTTCTTTTGCAGTGAGACTATACTAAGTCATTTATTTCCCAGCCCTGGGGCTACTTATCTGGCTTCACCATCAATTGATCTAATGGGAGTTTTTCCTAAGAGTATCTGAACTGCACAGATCAAAGCCCTCTGCCTGGTGAGATGAAGAGGGGAACGCAGAGCCTCTGCCTGGGACTCTGTTTCTTCTTCATGGGGTTTTCTCTTTCTTTCTTTCTTTCTTTCTTTTTTGGAGGCGGGGTTTCACTCTGTCAATTAGCCTGGAAAGCAGCGACAAGACCACGGCTCACTGCGAGTCTCAAACTCGTGGGCTCAAGCAATCCTCCCGCCTCAGCCTCCCAAAGTGCTGGGATTACAGGTGTGAGTCATTGCACCCGGCTGGGTTTTTCTATCGTAGAAACAGATGCTAACAAATGGATACTTACTTTGCCCATTCAAGTCCTGAAAGAGAGGGTAGTTCCATTTCTCAAGGGACTTGAGGAAGAGGTGACAGGCCTCTGAGCCCTTCTTCAGAACCATGTGGATGATCCCCCTGGCGGCATCCTGCTCCACCTTCTCGCTGCCGATGACGCTGAATTCTCCATCGTTCAGAACGTTCCACGCAAAGAGATCGTCCATGACCTGCTTGATGACTGTCTTCCCCATCCTTTGGATGAGGGCTTGACTATTGTCCTTTATGAAATTCACTGAGGAGATGGGGGGTAGACATATGTATTCATTGGTATGAAATGTGCATATCAGCATCTGTTGCCGGAGCATTGCACGCATTTTTTCCCCCTCCAGGCCCATTTTGAGTCATGGAGCTGCCAGATGCTTGGACTCCAGGCCCTCAAGGAAAGCTCTGCAAAGCCCCTCCTCCCAGCCCAGAGTATTTGATGAGTGAGATAGTTTTGCTTTGGCAATGAAATAAGGTGAGTCACCTTGTCCCAGATATAACACGGTCCCCAGGGAGGTCAGAGTGGTGAGACTGTGGCTTTAGTAACTAGCTTGGTCTAGGATCTGTCGCTTGCTACCAGCTGTGTGGCTCTGGCAACTTACCAAACCTCAATAATGTGCAGCTAAATGTTTAACAAACTGGCTCTGGGAGCAAAGACCTTACTCTGTCACAGGGGTGTCCCATGTTTTGTCTATCCTGGGCTGCAACGAGTAGGAGGAATTGTCTTGGGCCACACATAAATTATGTAATATAAGCCGGGCTCGGTGGCTCAGCCTGTAATCCTGCGCCTTTGGGAGGCCGAGGTGAGTGGATTGCCTGAGCCCGCGGGTTCGAGACCCGCCTAGGCAGCAAGACCTCATCTCTACAGTAAATCAAAAAATGAGCCGGGCGTGGTAGCGCATGCCTGTAATTCCGGCTACTTGGAAGGCTGAGGCGGAAGGATTGCCGGAGCCCAGCAGGTCGAGGCTGCGGTGGCCGGGAGCGGCCACTGCACTCCAGTCTGGGCGACAGAGTGAGACTCCAACTCAAAAAAAAAAAAATTATGTAATATAGTTAGGGTATACACATACTAAGACTTCTTTTTTATATATTTTTTATTATAAAGTTTAGAAAAATGAGAATACTATATAGCTAGTGGGAAATTGGCCTTGTTTTTGTAAAACTAATCTATGAACGTCTAGTTTGATGGAAGAGCTTGCAATTCTTTGTGAGTTAGTTCTCAAGGTGCTCAGAAATGTTTGTTTGAATTTTGCTTTTTGTGTTCTTTATAATTGAAAACAACTGCTCACACATGTATGCACTGCCAAAAAGCAATGTCATGAGTAAGGCAAGATTGTGAACTTAAAAAATGAAACTATGCATGGGGCCACAAAGAAAATAAATGCTAAAAAACACATGATGTGGGCCAGGCTCGGTGGCTCAGCCTGTAATCCCAGCACTGTGGGAGGCCGAGGCGAGTGGATTGCCTGAGCCCATGGGTTCGAGACCAACCTGGGTAACTTGGTGAGAGACCTCATCTCTACAAGAAGTTTTAAAAAAATTAGCCGGGTATGGTGGCCCTAGCTCCAGTTCCAAATAGTTCCAGCTACTTGGAAGACTGAGGAGGAAGGATCACCTGAGCCCAGCAGGTCGAGGCTGCGGTGGCCAAGAGTATGCCCCTGCACACCAAGCCTGGGCAACAGAGTGAGACTCCCACACAAAAAAGTCACATTTAAACAGCCTCAGATGGCTAGTGACCACTGTATTAGATAGCACAGGCCCACCCAGTCACTGACATAGAAGGTGGCAACATTTGGGTGCCACTTAGACCTCCACCATGTTTCTCTATCATGATCTTGATGGGCTCAGCTCTCTGCTGAACAGAATAGGGCAGAGAGTCAAGGGTTCAAAGCATACACCTGGTCACTCTGCCCCCAAGTCTTGTCCCATCTGGACATTTGCCTGTTGTGACAGGTCACCATATTTGTAACTGAATTCCCAAAGCAACGGAAAAAGATGGAAGGCTAATTCCACAAGTGACTGGTCAGAGGAAGACATGAACTGATTTTCCACTCAGGGTCATCACTCTCTGGTAGCAGACTATGTAACCAGGAGCGTGTTATTTCCAAAATACTTACTTTTTCCAAATAAAAGCTCTCTGCCTTTTTATGACTCAGTAAAAGAAGTCTTTCTTCTTTTGGACAGGTCAACGATGATCCCAATATTGTTGTCTTCTTTCTGTAAAACTAATAACACAGAAACCAGAAACTCTCAGGCGGGAGGACTGAAGCAGTTATCAAGCTCATGCCCTTCTTGTTATAAATGAATCATTGGTGGCCCAGGCCTGATAAAAACGTGCTCAAAACCACCGGCTCTGTGTAGTCAAGCCCTAGAGAGAATCCAGGTGTCTGGACTCCTGACCTGGCACTCTCGACGGTGCTCAACTGGACCTCTGCCCTTCTCTTGAAAGCTTCTCCCCGTTGCTGCAACTCAGAACCACGAGGACAACTTGGAGTTAAGTATCGGAAGATAGAATGAGTACATGTCTGAGCCAATGGTGCCGGGAGAACTCACCGTGCTCAACAGGCGCTCCAGGAGAGAGCACCGGGCACCGGAGCCATCCAGAGGAGGTTTCCATGGGCGGGGAGCGGGGAGCACGTGAGCCAGGCCTTCAGGGATAAGTGAGATGAGGCCAGGTGGTGAGGCTGGGGTGGAGGTGGAGATAGAGGCAAAAATGCCTTCCAGGTAAGAGGAAGAAGGCGAGCAAAGCTACCAAGACAGGTTGGTTGAGGAGTCGCAGAGGAGACAGAAGAGAAGTTTGCTGCTAGAGAACAAAGAGAAAAGCCCAGGAGGGCAACTCTCTGGGGTCCCCTCCCACTGTGGGAGCTTTTCTGTCCTCTCAATAAATCCTGCTTTAAAAAGAAAAGAAAGGCCAGGCTCAGTGGCTCAGCCTGTCATCCCAGCACTTTGGGAGGCCAAGGCGAGGGGATTGCCTGAGCCTGGGGGTTCGAGACCCACCCAGGCAACTTGGGGAGACCTCGTCTCTACAATAAATAAAAAATTAGCCGGGCATGGTACCACATGTCTGTAGTTCCGGCTGCTTGGAAGGCTGAGGCGGAAGGATCACCGGAGCCCAGCAGGTCGAGGCTGCGGTGGCCGGGAGCATGTCACTGCTTGGGTGACAGGGTGAGACTCTAACTGAAAAAAAAAAGAAAAGAAAAGGAAAGCCTTATCTGCCAAGGGTGACATTAGTACTTTATCCTCTGAGCAGCTGGGAGTAGTCATGGCAGCAAGAGCGAGTTCAAAGTGATGTTTTAAGACCAGGTGTGGCCGGGCTCGGTGGCTCAGCCTGTAATCCCGCGCCTTTGGGAGGCTGAGGTGAGTGGATTGCCTGAGTCCGCGGGTTCGAGACCCGCCTGGGCAGCGAGACTTCATCTCTACAATAAATAAAAAAATCAGCCGGGCGTGGTAGCGCGTGCCAGTAGTTCCGGCTACTCGGAAGGCTGAGGCGGAAGGATCGCCGGAGCCCAGCAGGTCGAGGCTGTGGTGGCCGGGAGCGGCCGCTGCACTCCAGTCTGGGCAACAGAGTGAGACTCCAACTCAAAAAAAATAAATACATAATAAAATAAAATAAAATCAGATTTCAACTTTCTGACCTCCTGGTATAGTCCTGTCATTTCAACCTCCCAGACGAAGTAAAAAGCAATATCCCCTCTCTCTCTTCCCCCTCTGCACATTATAAAGAGGTTGTGAAAATCTGGGCCCGAGAGCCTCGAGCTGGATCCTTTGAGCGCTCCATCTGTGTCCACCCAGGAACCAAATCAGTCTGGTCACCTCTTCTGCCCTCCACACACACATGCCCGGGTGTTGGGAGGAAGACTCAAAGGTCGAAACAGAGAAAGCCTTCCGGGGCAGAGAGGGAAAAGGGAAAAGAATTAGAGTCACCAGACGGAGAGAAGCAAAATGAGGCTCTGTGAGTGGGACTGAGGCATGTGAATGGGGCTGGGGTGGGAACCCACGTGTTTTTCCTCCTAACATGGTTTTATTACGAACATTTTCCTTTAAACATGTTTGTTTATTGAGGTGGAGTCATGCTATGTTGCCCAGGCTGGTCTGAAACTCCTGGGTTCAATTGATCCTCCTGCCTTGGCCTCCCAGAGTGCTGGCATTACAGGTGTGAGCCACCGTGCCTGGCCAAAAATGTTCAGGCATACAGAAAATTCATCCCTCTATTCATTTATCAATCCATTTTACTTTTTTTTCACATTCAATATAAGTTACAAATATCAGTACATTTCTATATCTGCATAATTAACTAGAATTCAATGTTGGTTTATCATTATTATTATTACTGTTATTATTATTTGGAGACAGGGTCTCTCTCTGTCACCCAGACTGGAGTGCAGTGGCACCATCACAGCTCACTGGAGCCTCGAATTGTTTGGCTCAAGTAATCCTCTCACCTCAGCCTCCCGTGTAGCTGGGAGTATAGGCACACACCACCATGCCTGGCTAATTTTTAAACATTTTTCTGTAGAGATAGGGCCTCACTATGTTGCTCAAGCTGGCCTCTTTCTTTTTCTTGAGTTGGAGTCTCGCTCTGTTGCCCAGGCTGGAGTGCAGTGGCACACTCACGGCCACCGCAGCCTCGACTTACTGGGCTCAGGTGATCCTTCTGCCTCAGCCTTCCAAAGTAGCTGGAACCACAGGCACATGCCACCATGCCCGGCTAACTTTTTGATTTATTGTAGAGGTGAAGTCTCACCAAGTTGCCCAGGCTGGTCTCAAACCCATGGGCTCAGGCAATTCTCTCACCTCGGCCTCCCAAAGTGCTGGGATTATAGGCGTGAGCCACCGCACCCAGCCAAGCTGGTCTCTTTCTAGGAAACATTTACATACAGTGAAAGCACAGATCTTAATTGTACCCTCTGATGAGTTTTGAAAAACGATTACACTTCAAAACCCTATCAAGACACACAATATCGTCCTCTCCTTAGAATGTATTCAGGCCCCTTCCCAGTTAGATTCAATCTCCAGCACTCCCTCAGAGGCCATCACCATTTTGATTTCTTTTTCACCATAAATTAGATTAGCCTGCTGTAGGACGTCACATAACGGAACCACATGGTGTGGGCTATTACTCTCATTCAGCAAAGTGCCTGTGCAAATCATCCATGTTGTTGCCCAGCTAGTCGGGAAGCTGAGATGGAAGGATGGCCTGAGCCCAGGAGGTTGAGGCTGCGGTGAGCCATGATCGTGCCACTGCACTGCAGCCTGGGCGTCAGAGGGAGACCCCCACTCAGGAAAAAAACAAACATCGTTTTATTTGGCGTTGTTCTTTTTAACTTCTCAAACTCTTAGCTGAGGCTTTCTG